ATGTCATGAATACATATATTAGTATATATTTGCCAGGTTACTGGTTTCTACCTAAGCCCAGAATATCTACATTTTATCCAGAAATGAATCCGAGAACAAATATTCATTTAGGTCTAGCTAAAAGCAATGGGAAAGCATCAGCAAGGGCCTGGGAATTATCTGCTATTAGTGGCAAGCAGTTCTCTTCTAAGTTGGTGACCTACATAGTGTTGAATCTGGTCACATCATGTTATGCCTCATTATGGCCCTGATCTAAAGTCTATTGAAGTCAATAGAAATATTCCTCTTGGCTTCAATGAGTATTCGATTGGACCCATGTGTGAAGCTGAAAATACAAGAGAATCCATTTCTGTTGTGGACAGAAATCCAGCATAGATAATTCTCTTGTTTATTCTGAAGAAATTAATGCACTGCCTCTCCTGTCGAGCTGATCCTGCTGTATATCCTTCATCCCACAGTTTTCCCCCGTAGAGGCATTAATCCCGCTCTCACAGCCACCAAAAGCACATTGGTCTGTGAGCCCCAGTCTTGTCTCCTCCACCCGTCCAGTCTACCATGCCTGAAGCCCCTTGGCTGGCAGCTGTTTCCCAGGTCTTGATTTCCAGGAACATCTCCTGTCCATGCTTTAACTGGCGAATGCGTTTGAGTCAATGGTTCACACAACCGAGGCCACGGGCTCGGCCATCCCAAGACGGCTTCCCCAGGGAGCTGGGGAGAGCTCCTCCATCCTTCTGGCTGGAATCGCAGGAAGCCACCAGAGGACAAACAGCCTCACAGCCACACAGAAGGGTTTGCTGAGTACAGCCAGCACCTCCAGTTCCTCCAGCTGGATGCTCCTAATGGAAAATTATGCCACTTGGTGTAGCAGCTCTGTGCATAGGAAGGACATGGGATGAGTGCCAGTTCTGGATAAAATCTGAATTGTCGGTGCAGCAACAACGAAAGGTGGGGTTTTGCCTGTGACAGGGGCAAGGCGGGAGTACGGTGGTCCGCCACGGACATAGCTGTACAGGACAACTCCAGGGCAGGCAGGCAAAAGCCGCTCCTTGTGTCAGCACAGCTTTGCTCCGAGGGAAGTCTGGATGTCGGCTGTGCAAGCAACATGAACAGCCTTCCCCATGGGCAGTGGGACTGCACTGCAGAGCCGACACAACGGGAAGCAGCAGGGCCCATACCCACACACACATGTCAAAAGGCACAGAGAGGAGAACAGGAGCTGCTGCCAGTCCGGGAGGCAGATGCTGTGAAGACTTTCCTTCTCCGGAACCTGAGGATTACGTGACATTCAAGCCATAGGCTTTGTCCCAGCCAATGAAAGAGCTGCACGGTGCTCGTGGCCAGCAGCCATGAGCAGAACGGCAGTGCAATGGTGATGTTGCAAACACACTGCTATGTGCATTTCAAAATCTGTGCCCAGAAATATGCGAAATCAGTTTTCCACGAACATCTGCAGCCAGTGCAAATCAATCACAGGCTGTTTGCAAAAAATGAGCACAAAAGGCCACAAACACGAAGGAGAAGAATTCATTTTATACATGGATTCATGTTTATAGCGGGTTTCTATCGGGGGGAGGTGGGCCAGGGTGCTTCTAGAGTACTGACTTTATGCCTTGATTACTCCCCCATAACATACAGACATGAGAGGACTTGGCTCCATTTGCACAGCCAACCCTCAGCCTCAGGCTTCCCAGCTCCCAGCTGCTGTACTTCACCTGCCATTGAACATTTCTTACGCTCTACATGTGCCGGTATCACATACCTGTGCTGCAGAGTACACACCTATGCATGCACAGCTGCACCACCGGGCATTAGGTGGCAAAATGAGGCCCATAATAGAGGATGCCTTACTTCTGCCCTCTGATGCACACAGTCTGACACAGTCTTTGATTATACGAACCCATGGTGGGATCGCTGCCTCACCCAGTGCATGCAGTGGGCACTGTTTCTGAACAAAGGACTGATATTTTATTTTCCTGTCATTGTCCAGCAGTTGCCTTCCCTCTCAGCATTGTATGAGCCCTTCCCCAAAAACAAATATTCATTCCCTGCCTATAGAAGGCACAGCTTACAGCAGATGTGAAAACTCAAGATGATGCTTGTCAAGAGCACAACATATTCTGAGGTCACAAATAACTTACGAGTCTCCATTTTATACAGGTGAACTGAGGAAAACATTAAAGATGGAAAAGTAAAGGAAATAGACTGGAAGCACTCAAAGTAAAGGGTTTGACAGCAGTGAGCAAGCACTCCCACACAGTCCATCAACACGTCTACCTATGTGAGGGGCAATGTACACTTTCCAACAGGCAAGCCCAAATTTTGTCCAGAAAATGCATCTGGAGGACTTTGGGCAGCTGGAGCCAGCCTTCAGCTGGGGACCGAGCATGCTGAGGTTGCAAACACTTTGCTGTGCAGAAGGGACCTGTCCCCCCCACACCACAACTCACCATGACCAAGGGTCTGTTCCCAGCGCACTTAGAGAGGAGGCACAAAACAGGGAGAAAAAGGAACTTCCTTGTCTAGAGAATAGCAATTCTTCCAGTAAAATACCTGGAGCACTCCTCAGGTGAACAGCGCAGGGACATCAACAAATTTTTGTGCCCAAGTAAGATTAGTGATATTCAGCTGGCTGCTGCTGGACCATGTTTCTAATAAATTAGATAAGCAGTGGGTTAGCAGCTCCTACTAGACTTCTCCCCACATCTTGTCTTTATGGGAAGGAGCACCTTTTCCTTGTGTTCCTCTACAGAAGTAGCTCAGGACTCCACACACCCGTTGCTGACTTAGCTCCTAATGCATGGCTCTGGGCTCAGTGGCACTCTGGACAGCCAGATGCCGGAGGCAGGTCTTGGTTTACTACAACAGTCTATTCCAGGGACAACTCTGGTTTTCCAAGTCACATCATTAATATTCTCAGTATTTTTTTCTCATTTATTTTTTTGGCCTTACTAATTGATCCACACAGCTTCTCTGCTTTGGTTAAGTATGACAGCTTTGCTTGACTCGCCAAAGAGGTAAAACATGACTGCTTTGGTAAGCAGTGGAGTTCATACTGCATCCTTGTGAACCAGAGCTAATCATACAGATCACATGCGTTCATGTTGAAAGTTACACTTTACATGGCACCAGAAAGAAGAACCAAACAGCCACGAGCCCTTAACCATGGCCCAGCCTTCCAACAGCAAATGACAATGCTCCAACCTACATACAAACAACTACAAACTCCATTTGTAATTAAACTTAAATATGCCTAGGCAAGGCGGTTCTGCTAAGCATCTTTTGACCATCATAATATCACATTTCCCAGCATCTGTTTGACTTCCCAGAGCATGCAGAGAGTACCCTGTTAACCAGATTAATAGGGGCATATCTCCAATCTTAACTCTCTGGCGGCACAGCCATTCTAGTCACAGCTCTTACGTGGACCCAGGGAGATCCTTGTTCCACCAACAGCCGAATATCCCATATTTGACAATCAGGATAACACTTCAGCAATACCCTCATTCAATTCTCCCGTTCTTCCTATTAAACCAGCAAAAGCTTATCTCTGGATAAACGTTCACTGCTAGACTGTCTCCCTTGAGCTACAGTGACATGACTCAGAGACTTCAGAACACAGAAATGAAGAAACGATCCTCTTCCATCACCACTCTCTTTGTAATGACTTTTTTGGTGTACAAAAGTTAAAGAGGGACAGATCTAACACCACACAATTTCTAAGTGACCAACACTGAAAAGGCTGGCTGCAGGAGTGGGTGCAGTGCCTGTCCTCTCCAGTATCACCGGTGTTCAGATGGGATAACCACCATCTAGTGGTACGTGAAGGCCATTTCACCTTCCAGAGACACCGCTTGTTTGGCTTTCCTAACAAGTTTTTAAAAAAATCAAATTGACCTCAGCATCTTCCCCATCTTTTTCCAGCTTGAGTTCAGATCTGCAGAGTTCCTCAGCAAATACAAACCGGGGAAACAACAAAACCAGCAGAAGCTGGTGAAAAGCAAATGGGTCTATGAATGAAATAACTATTGACAGATGTGAGCTTAAAGGCATGAGAAATTTCTACTCTACCATATGACTTTCAGCATAAGTAAGTAATTTTTCAAAAAATTTATACCAATACATATTCCTTAACTGGAGCCATGAAGGTAGTAGGCTGCCATGAGATAATCCCTAGTGGCCCTCTAATGTATAGATTCCTCCAAGGGAAATGAGTGGTTGTCTGCAGTTTGAGAAGTCCATCCACCTTGCTAAAAAGCAGGTCTAATATTAAGAACACTGAAGATTAATGGCCAAATACATCATTAAGTAGCAAGCTAGACTGATACTGCTGCTGACAACAGTATATTCATTTCTACCTCCCCCTCAGCAGCTAAATTAAGGCTGACGCCCAAGAAGAAGAACACAGAGAGACATAGCTCATCAGTTTTTGCATGTGCTTCTGTATTGCGCCTGCAAAAATTGAACCTTCCCAAAAAATTAGTGCCAAGTCCTTCTCAAACACACTGCTAATCTGTAGGTGTAACTAATTTACCTTCACATACTAATTGGGCGTTTCTTTCAGCAAATGGCCAATTACATGCCTAATAAGCCATTTCTGGATACAAAAGTCTAATTTGTGTGCACAATCATGCTAACCATGAAGCAAAATTAGGCATTAGGTTTTGCAAGTCTTCTCCTTGTTACCTGCATAGCCTGCTTTTGATCTAACAAAAGCACCAGAAGCCGTGATGCTCTTCAAGCACTCGTTTGATGTAACCGGCCCAGATCAGGTGTCACTTCATACTCAAACACTTGCTAATGTTTACACAACAAGTGTTTTCCTTCATTTTTTAATACTCAGACTTTTATGGCTAACGTGCACTTGACTGAAGAGCTTGATACAACACCTGTTTCTCCATGCTTTTCTACTGAGACTCTGAGAAGTGTTTGGTGATGTCCACCAAGCAGACCTCTGCCAGCAGAACGCATATCCGGAAAACACTGAATGTTTGCAATAGTACCTGCTCTGGTTTGATGGGCTCAGTTGTTGTGAAAATGTCGGAATAATGTTGCCTCTCGAAGACTCGATCCAACACTTCTAGCTGCTGCTGGGTGAAAAGGTCTCCTCGCATCTGTTTCCGAAGAAAATCTCTGCCTGGGAGAGAATGGCCATTTGGTACTGGAGATTCCTGAATACCTTTCAAAGAGGAGAGAGAAGACAGAGAATAAGTAGGTATCACAATGATGAGACCTACAGAGGAATGTCTCATTTCATCCCTTGCACAGATGTGGGTACCGGTGTTGTGACACCATGAGGACTCTTTGGTAGGAGGTTACAAGCAAGACACATATTGCCAGAAGATGCACTGACCGGTATTCCATTACAGCCAACCCTCAACACAATTTACCATTAATGGTTTCACACATAATTTAAAGGCAGGACAAAGGATAATGGTCACATCTTTGCTCATATCACTTTTACTGCACTACCTGAAAACCTGTGTGGTTCATGGTCTGGATGCAGGAGGACACGGGAGGATAAGTACACCACCTGATGCTATAGTCACAGTCAACTTGGGTCAGCTCCAGCAGATCTGCTTTGCCCAGTCACCACCCATACGCTTCACCCCCTTCCTGCGGTACCTCAAGTCTTGCTCAGCGCCATCCTGTGCCGACCTCTGAGCTATAGTGTGCTCATGTTGGGAAGCAGGGACTCTCCGTCCAGCACCACCTCCCGCTGGCAGCAGCTAGCCAGACAACCTCCAAAACACAGGCACTACCTGTGCCATACTGAGATGGGAAGTCCCTGGGGCTCAGAGTTACCACTGCAACACCCTCAGAAAGGTCTGATCTGGTGCACTGTCCTGGCACTGCGATTTCACTTTGTATTTCTTAAGCTTATTGGCATGATGAAAGCCTGGGCTCCAAGGCACGTTTTTCTCTCTCTCCCCGTTGGCGGAGATTTTTAGCAGAAGTCGTAAGTGACTGCCCATGGCTGAAAAGAAAGTTTGAGAAATGTTTAGATTGGCAGTTTGAAGAGACTCCTGCAATACAGGGGCTTGTTTCGATTTGCTTTTTGCAGATTCACAGTGGTTCACTACTTTTCCTTCACCTGTCAGTGCTAGAAATGTATCTTTTATGCACTGAAAGCTGAGGTCTGCAGTATTCCCAGGACTCCAGGAGGTGGAACTCCAAGAACAACAGTAAATATCAGATTTCTTCTCCAGACGGCAACACCACACTAGACACAGGGAGGAAATGTTTTAAAAATAGAATCTCGCTGCCAAGATAGTTTTGAGGAGCAGAATTCAAATGCATCCTTAACAACAAGATTTTCATGAGTGTTGCAGTGGTTTACTGTCCAAGTAGTCTGCAGAGGAATAACATCACTCAGACCTTCTCTGGTATATTCTGCATCAAGTTTTTTGACGGCAAGGATCAGAGGCCATCTGTGCAAAGACACCCTGCTGCTGTAGACACCAGTTTTGTCCCCAGACATGTGCTGGCTATCAGTAACATGGGTGATGCCCGGCGGACAAGATTTTTCACAAAGGACTATTGATTCGAGATCATCCTTCAGGACAGCTGGATTTTGCAGAAAATGCTGTTTATCCAGAAAACCAGGCTGCTTTAGGACAGATCTCTCAAACTGGGGGACTGACACGCAGAAATATTTTTTCAACCTAGGTCACTCTCTAAAACAAACTGCTTACACTGAACAGGCACTTGATGTTAGCAATTAATACTGGAAACTTCCTTCTAAATTTTAGTTCAGCAATTTAGGCAACAAACAGCTTTATATTTACCTGTTTAGACAAAGTGGTGCAACTTAAATCAAGAGTAGACAATGTTGGCTTTTGTAAAGTGCAAGGATCAGTTTATAGAATCACAAAATAAAAGAATATCTTGAGTTGGAAGGGACCCGTAAGGATTATCCCACACAGGAAAAAAAAACTGAACCTGTCCTCTGAATAGGAAGTCTAAGCATGTGTACAGTGCTGTGAAAAAATACAAAGGCATGTGAGAGCAGTGTATCTTTAAATCTTTTTTTTTTTTAACTATTCTAAATCAAATAATATCTAATAGACCTAGTGCTGGGTTTAGTCAACCATAGCTTATAAAATTAAATTCTGGTTGCTAGCTGCATGGTAGCAAAAGGCCGGGGAGACCCTGTCTCTGGAGCACGGAAACTCTGGCTTTAAATTTCGGGTTAAACTAATGTTACTCACAATTTGGCATCAAAGTTAAAGCTTTATGCAGTTTTGGTCTAAAGGGGGTGACGAAAGGGAGTGAAATGATCCAAGACGTGGTATGACCTGGAAAATGTTCTTGGCGACGCCAGTACAGTTTGTGCATTGTTTATACATCCAGAGATCAGGTGTGTAATGAGACCCCATTGTATTTAAATATAGAGCAGCTGACTTGCGTTTCACCGGCAGCACTTGTATTACGGAGTGCAGCTCTGGATTTTTTGGGGGGTGAATAAGTTGGAAAAGAAGAGCCAGACGAAGGCAAACCCTGGCGCAGCAGCCTCAGCCAGGGACAGGCACCGGGGCCAAGCTGGGGGCAGAGTCGTGCTGGGAACTGGGCTCCCTCCCCCATCCAGGAGCACGATGTCCAGAGGCTCGGGACGGGCAAGGACAGAGACACCACCAAGTGCCCACGGTGTTGGCCTGGCCATGTCCATTCCCAGCTGCCCTTCCTCCAAGGGGCATCAAGGCAGGGGACCGCCCTGGGTGCCTGCCGCCAAAGCATCCCAAGAAATATGAGGAAGAGGAGATCCCCCTCTGCAACGGAAATCTGCAGACAAACACCGTACCAGAGAGACCTGGGAGCGAGCCAGCAGATGAGGTGCCTTGCTGCACAGCGCTGGGCGATATGGCAGGGGATGAAATCCCATGGAGATGGTGGTGGGGCTCTGGAGGGGTTTGGTCTCAAGGTCAGGATTTGGCACGGTGCTGGAAGCACTACCTGTGCAGCCAGCCAGAGAGGGCTGCCTCCCCACACCATCTGCACATCTCTGTTTGCTGCGGTCTCCACATGCCGTCCCGAGGACCTGAGATGGGATCAGCCTCAGAGCCGTGCTTCCCAGCGCAGCCGGGCTGTGCTGAGATGAAGGAGCAATGCACGCAGGGTTTGCTGCCGGGGAAGAACCCGGGCAGGAATACGGCAGGGCTGGGACCACCGGGATGGCTGTCACTGCCCAGAGGATCCAGCACCTTTGTGAGAGGAGTCTGGGAACTGCCCAAACTTGACTCGCCCTCATTATTGCTCCCTCTGCGCATCCGGTGAATGAAGGGATAGCTTGTTCTTTTCCACTGTGCTTCCCAAACTCGAACTAATTGCAGGTAAGTGCTGCATTTCACTGCACAAGTAAAGGACTTTCTATATACTGCACATGACACCTGAAAGTTCATTAAGGTCTTTGGGATGCGTTTGGCTGTTAGACATTATATAAATGTGAGATAATTACCATTAGCATTATGCATTGTTTGAATACACCAGAATATCTTCGATAATTAAAATACGGTTGGCAGGTTTGAAACACTTTGGGTTATAAATAGGCTCCCGGGAGTGGTAAAAACATTTTTCATATAATCAATGCATCCACCTAGGAGGGTTATGTTTTGTTGACAGTAGCACTACGTGTGTACCTACCTACCCTGCAAAACAATTAGTTCCCAGTCCAATGGCATCTTTCCAGAAATGCTAATGAAGAGCACAGATATAATATCTCTTCTTAACGCAAAAGAGGACATTCTTCTCAGACAAATGTTTCATCTCTCATCTCTAGCAGATTACATAGACAGGACAAGATGGTGCCGTTAGACCTCAACTTTCTGAACTACCTCGGATGCAACACACTGCCCTCCCAGCACGAGGCCTGAAGCACTGTGCCTCCTGGGGATGCGCTGGCAACCTGTGCGTCCAGATCTGCCCTGACGCCCCAGGGAGAGCCCATGCCTCCTGCTCTGCCGGCACCAAGCTCCAGCATGTGCCAGACCTGCTCCGGCTGCCTCCCCACCGGTCTGATCCAAGTCCCTCCCAGGCATCCAGCCCCTCTCTGGACACCGACTTGGCTCCTCTTAGGTGCGCACAGCTCAGCACATGATCCAGCTTGAGATCTGCAGCTGGAGGAGTCGCCGTGTGGGGTACGTGTTGCATGGGCAGAGTCCCAGTGACACCTCCCCGGTTCCGAATTTACTGGCAGGCACTTGCTATGTGCGGGAAAAAGCAATCATTTCTCACTCTGAACTGCACAGACACCTTCTTCCCTGCTTGCATCTTACCCAGAAAATCAACCCGTGGTTTCACAACAAAAGCCAGGCACTCTCCTAAATAAACTAGCCTGACTTGGACAGCTGAAGGGTAACATGATGTTAATACTACACACTAGCAAAGATTTCCTATGGCTAACCAGAGTCTGAACAGTCTAGGAAGAGTTAGGTGCAGAACAGATCCACCTCTGAGAAGAGGTGCCATGCATGGTCTTGCTGACTAAAGGCTGTCTAAATGGTGTGGCTATCATCCAGAAATACTATATCTTTGTTAATTAAGAGCAAGTTATTTTCTGGGGACCTAAGCAAATGGCAAGATCAGTTTAAAGAATTTGATAAATTGTGATCTAATTTTTTTTAGGATACTTTTACAGTTAAATACTTGTCCAAGACATGTTTTCTGAAACAGCAGGAGAATATTTGAAATTGCTAAATACTTCTAAAACAGATTTTTAGCGATAGTCACCACATAACTCACTTGATTTCAAATAGTGTTTTGTTTATACATTTCTAAAACTATGGGCCAAAATAAGGAGAACAAATGACCCTAGACCCTGTCTTCACAAAACACTAGAGCATGTTTAAAAGCCCTAAAGCTTAGTATTAGAAACAAGATCAACTCCACCTTGTCTTTTTTTATTCAGAGAGGGACAACAGCACAATTTAATTACTGCATTATGAAGTGTCACTGTGAAATTGCATGGGATAGACCCTGCCCTGGTCTAAACGAGTGCAGCTCCAGTAAAGGACCTCGGCCAGGTGACAGCGGCTGAGAAATAGGTGCCATCCACAAATCCAACTGAAATAATATTTCCAGTGTTATTAATAATAATGATGTACCATGAAGTGCACACCTCCATGGTACATCCATCTGATGTGATGCTCTTCTGAAGAAAAAGAGAATCTTCTGGTTTCAGGT